TCAGTAATTTGCTGATTACTCTTTTTTAACTAACCAGCACTGATGAATCAGCAGCACAGGAGAGGATGGAATCCGGTGGCCTTGGACCATGGCTGCCGAGGTCTCAGGTTCTGGGAAGGAAGCCACAGGATCACTCTAGAGGGGGAAAAAAAACAATCAGCAGCAGCAGCAGTTCTGGCACGCGAGGAGGGGCCAGGCAGGGCCATGGCCTGCTGCTGTTTGCATTTTAGCAGCCCCATACACATCCTGGAAAGACCTTCATTGGTGCTGAAGCTCTGCAAGACAGCAGCCACAGCTCTGACCTAAGCCCAGGAGCGAGGCAGGGGCTCCAGACAGGAGCCGTTTACGACACAGTTTGGCACCACTGTCATTCCAGGCTGCGTAGAAGATGGTGCATGCAAACAGCTCAAGATGCAGAGCAGGACACATGGAGGGTGCCTTGGCTACCTCCTACAGACAGGAGGAATGGACAGAACAGTCAGTGAGGCGGAACTAGGCTGCACGCTCTGCCCAGAGCTGGCCCACGCAGCGTCTCCTCACCCCGAGGAGGACCTGTTCCCAGGGGGCGGCTGCAGTGCTGCTGCTGCAGCTCACAGCAGCTGCAGACAGCACCTCCCTGGCCTGGCCAAGCTGAGGCCAGCAAGCTGCCCTCCGCCAAGTGGACCTTGATAAGATAGAAGTAGCCTTGTCCTAGGGCTTCACGGGCTCTTCTGAGCCCCTGGGGATCAGCTCCGATCTGCTCCTCCCTCTCTGGGGACTGCCCTGCCCAAGACTAAGGCCACCAGTTCAGCCACAGCCTTGTTAGCCGCAGAAGACGGGGTACTACGCTACAAAACTCCCATCCATGCTCAGCACACTGGGACACACAAATCCCAGCTCCACAGCTAGCGCTAGAGGAAGGCTGCTCCCTCCAGAAGCGCCTGTGGCCCAGCTAGGCCTGGTCATGAGGCAGACACATCAGAGCGGTGCCCAGGATGAGGCAGGCACTGCTTGCCCCCAGCCAGAAAAGAGCAATCCCCCAGGAGTGCCCCCAGGCACGTTCTTCAAGAGACACTGTTGCTGGGAAGGAGCCGAGTGGTGAAGCAATCTGGTGTGAAGAAAAACCCATTTCCTGCAGCAAGGGATGTTTTGCTCAACGTTTTACAAAATGTGCTGATGCAACTGCCCTCCCCAGGTGGGTTATAAATACAAGCCTGGTTGATGTGGATTAATGCCCTACAGCTATACAAACATCCCTAGCAATATTTTCTTTAAAAAGAAAAAAAAAAGGACGTAAGAGGAACAAACAGCACTGGCTACAAAATCACTGACTATGAAAGCCCAGAGGCTCGGGTTGCAAGATGTTGGAAAGACTCTGCCCTGGGCACAGAGCTCAGCACAAGCCACCACCTATTCTGGGACACTGACTGAAGTGATTAGGTCACGGAGAAGCTATTGTGGTAGCGCTGCAAACCCACGATGTGGGTCAGCACAGCAAGCAGACCACTGCTCAGGGACAGGGCACATCAGCAAAGCTGAGTTGCAAGTGGGAGCAAGACCACTGGTCCGATTAGCTCAGACACAGCAGTTCACTCAGTCTGGGTAGCCTGGTCGGCTGTAGCTCTTCCAAGAGTATCTAAGGCTGGAAGACACCGAGCTGGGAAATTCTCACCTCCTGGGACAGCCTGTCAAAGCAGCTGATCACCCATCCTGTTAAAAACAAGCTTCATAGCCCCTTTGAGCCTGTAAGGCTTTACTCTCGAGGCACAAGTGTTTGTATTGCCTTCTTAGCTTGTTCCCCAAAGGCCTTTAGCCTGGCATTCCCTCTTCTAAGGTATTTGGACACACGTGCCCAGTCACATCCATTTCTGCATTCTTACTGTGAGGCATTTTCTTTGGCCCTCAAATCATTTCAGGCATGGGAGCTAGAATAGCAGAGCATTATCGGAAAGGAGCTATGTTTTCAGAGTAGAGCACAGGAATTACACTATGCCTGGTTTGGAAATTCTTTGCTCGCTGCTTTTTGTGAGCATACTGAATTTTTAAAAGGTGCCAGAATATCCATCTCAGAGAAGTTCTCCCTAATACAAGCCTTTGAGCCAGAGGACAGGGGTTACCTTTGCAAAGTAACGGGGAAGCTTTAAGCAACTTTCCATTAGCACAACCAGTACCAGAGGGTCTGCACTACCCCTTAGGGTTCCCAGAGCTCTGGCTGCTTTGCTACCTCTCTTCCTGCCCTGGAACCACCATCATCACAAAAATTCTCCATTCATCGCAAAAAGCAGCTAACTGAAGGCAAGAGAGGGGACATGCTAATCTGACATAAATTCATCCTGTTTCCTCTACCTGGGAGGCAACTTTTGCCAGGAGACCCTCTGACCCACCTACCTTCAGACAGAAACACTGAGCTTTTGTCAAAGAGGATGCACAGGGACACTCCAAATCTAAACAGAGGCCTGGCTCAAGGCTGGTCAGAAACACAGCACTGGGCTGCTCTGAGCTGATGCAAAAGCATGCTTATTACAGAGAAAAGCTGCTGGTTGCAGGAGCCCCCCATATCCTCCCTGACTCCTTGCACTAGAGGCCACTTCCCCCACAGCAACCGCAGAGCTATGCGGGCTTGTTTTATAGAAGAAAAATGAGGGGTGGGGGGGGGGCTGGCAAGGATGGTGAGCTCAGCATTGGGCAGCGTACAGCAGCCTGGAATCCAGCTTCACCCACAGGCAGCATTACTGTAGCGAGAGTGCTTCTGCAGCCAGCCCCTTATCTCATGCCTCGCTCCAGCCCAGGGATGAATTTCAGTGATGCGGTCACCCAGTGATAGATGAGGGCATAAACCTTTCAAGGATGTATTTAATTAGCTTGAAAAAGGGCCGGCCGACGTGCAAGTGCACTGGGCTGATGGCACAGTGGGAGCAACTCTGCTGCCCCTACCGGACACACGACGCCTGCCAGGAAGTCTCGTGCTGGCTGCTCGGCAGGGTGGGAGGCGCAGGACATGAAGGGATCTGTCCTACTGCCCCAGTGAGGAGCACCAGGTTCAAGGATAGGACAAATCCAGCTTCTGGGATCCTCGTCTTGGATCAGAAATGCCACAGCCAAGCAACACCAAGCGCTGACCCAGCATACACATACTCAGCTGCTACCTATTCTTTCAGATTTATGGCAGGCTAAATCCAAACTTGCGGACATTGTGCCAGATGAGATACTGTCTGTCCTTCTGCAGGTGGCATAAAGTCAGCATCAGCTTCGTACCAGCCACTCTGGCCAGGGAGACAAATGCAATTGCACGCCCACACCTGGTCTAGATGAAGTTGGACTGCTGGGTGACTCAGTCTTAATGGCCCTGGAGTCAGGGCCTCGGCTGGTGCACAGAGCTTTAATCCCTGTCACTCGGTGAGCACAACGACCCTTCCACGGGGACAGAGAAGCCACGTTCCAGCCCAAACACATCCTAGATTGTAGAAGAGCGCAGGAAAAACAAGGATGCCTTTCCATCAGGTAAAAACTAAAGCAAAACAAACAGATGGGGTAATCTGTTGGGATTAGAAACGGGATAAAAATGGGAGAGTGCCCTTCTCAGTAGAGTACTGAGACATCACAAAACTGAGACACCGATGAGAGCAAGGAGCCACCCAAATCAAGCGTTCACCAAAACGCCAGGACGTCAGCGCGGAGCAGGGACGCCAGGCAGAAGGGGCTCAGCCCCAGCTCCCGGTCCAGCAGCATCCGGCTGGGCAGGAGGTCTGCCCAAGAGCTGGAAGGCATGGCCAGGGCGCTGGGGCAGCACCTGCTCCGAGCGCACCCCCCCGCAGGGAGGCCCTGGCACTGGAG